CGTGAATACTGGGAGGATCAGGTTATATTTTTATTATGCAGATTTCATCCCCCACACTTGACTTCATTGACATTGTGTTTCATATTCTCATTCCTATACATTGTGTTTTGTAAAATTAATCACCACTGAACAATGCTCACCATTATCTAGCCTCTTCAGGTCTCTGCTGGAACTTTGCCATTTCCTTTACCCTCTCTTTCTACCCACCAAATTGTACAATCCTGTGATTTCACCCCTACCCATATTCACCCTCTGCTCCCACTCCTTCCTTCCTTGGATCTCTATAGGTGCTTTTACTAGTTAGCCTTCTATTTTTACAATAATGGTCTTTTGCCATATTTGTCCTTCTGAGACTGAGTTAGTTAACTCAGTGTGCTCTCCAGTCTCTCCCAAATTATGTAATTTTTTTAAAAAAATAGTTACTCTAGAGTGCTGTGTAGTATTCCATTGTGACTGTACTACAATTTCTCAATCCATTCAGTTGTGGTTGGACATTTGGGCTGTTTCCATGTTTTTGTGATGGTGAATAACGCTGCTATGAATGTTGGTCTACAAATCTCCATTTGTACCTCAGTTCTAATTTCCTTGTGGTATATTCCTAGTAGTGGAATATCTGGGTCATACTGAGTTTCTATGTCCAGCTTTTTGAGGAAACACCAAACTGTCTTATCAGAGTGGATATACCATTTTACAATCCCACAAATACTGTATGAGAGTTCTGCCTCTCCACTTCCTCTCCAACATTTATTACTTACTGTCCTACTAAACTTTGCCACTGCTACTAGGGTAAGATGGTATCTCATTGTGGTTTTGATTTGCCTCTCTCTGATTGCCAGTGATTTTGAGCATTTCTTCATATTAAAGATGGTATGGACAAATTTTTTCTCCCGGTCAGTAGGTTTTCTTTTCACCCTGTTGGCAAAAGTTTTTGACACACACGGGGATTTAATCTTTAGAAGGTTCCAGTCAACAATTTTATCCTCTCTAGGTTGTGCATTTCTGGCTGTGTGTGGCAGGGACTAGGCTATATTTTTTTGGCCTGTCGATGCAGATTTACTTTCACTGGAAACCTATTGTAAAAAAAATGCTGTTAGGCTGGCAGAACCTGATGCCTTTTAACTTTAATGGTGGGGGTAGAGTCATCATCAGCATTGAATCCCAACTCTGGTTCCTTGGAGGTCAGGCATAGTCCTTCACCTTGCAGTATTTTTTATCAGTTCTGACACCAGCCTTTCTTCCCACAACCTTCTGTTTTTGTACTGAGTTTGATAATTTTTTGGAATGGCTATAGAGAACTTAAACACCATACTCACAGCGAAGGAGTATATTAGGGAAATGACAGGTTACAATTCAGGATCAGAAGCAAGTCAGGATATGGTTCTTTGTTGAGGACAGCAGATATTCGGTCACTACTGGGAGGCCACTCCTGCTTCCAAGCTTGTTTTAATGGGGGAGTTCTACCAAACCCTGTCAACTATGGGTAACCTTTATTGCATTTGACACATCAATGTCACAGAGTGTAGCCCCACAGGAACCACAAGTTACCTCTGCACAGCAAATGGACAGACTAGTGCTATACCACTTAGAAGAATGTTTGACCAAAAGCAATTAAAACCAGGCCTGGGCAGATTAAAATAACCCACATTTGTCTTGGTAGCATAACTTTCTGTCCACTAGGCCAACAGAGCTCTCTCGTTATTGTTGTTGTTGTTGTTAAGTGCCGTCAAGTTGTAGACAACTCATAGAGCTCCTTTAGCTCTGCTGAATTAAGTACCTCAAAGCACCCAGTTGCCAAGGGTACTTGGGAAACCTTGCTCCCCTGTGAAATGCCCAGAAGCATCCTCATTCCACCAACACATACTCAGAGGCACTCAGCCCACCACTGTGTCTCCTGGGTTCTCTTGATGCTACTTAGCTGGAGCTCCACTGGGTTAGTCCATAACAAGTTTTGCTGCTGATACAAAAGCTTCACATTTCTGCTGGATCAAATGTACTGATAGCTCCACAGGATAAAGATATTCAGTCTGCCCTCATTGTGAACTGACTTCAAACACAGTGAGTTTAAGTTATGTTATGTTTTTGGTGTTGTTTTTTTCCCCCTCTCTAATTTTAGATACTTATTTTATACCAGTCATGCAGATTTTGTTTTATAACTCTCCCACCCCCTACTTCTCTCTTTCACCCTTCCACCTCCTTATTTGATCATTTATTCATTTCTTGTTCCATATTGTTAATTGTAATATACATATTGTCCATTCGTCGATAGTTTCACTTTGATCTTCAAGTTTTGTGTTGATTTTACTCCCCTAACGGTAATAGCTCTCTGTCTCCTGAATTAAGACATTTCTATGTAGGATCTGAAATCCTCAGGGCACACTCTTTCTGGCTTTTCTCCCTTACTGTCAGTGGAGATTCTCCTTTCCACTAGACAGTATCATGACATATCTGCTCCCAGCCATATCCTGCACTATCCTCACAATCTTCAACATATGCATGCTCATTGCTGCAGTCACTTTATCAGTCCATCTTGTTGAGGGTCTTCCTCATTTAGTCTATATACTTTCCAAGGGTGGTGTTCCTTTCCAGGTAATAATCTCTCCTAGCACCAAGTACATGAGATGAAGTTTCATCAATCTTGCCTCCAAGGAGCACTCAGGCTTTATTTTTCAAGACATACCTGTCTGTTCTCTTGGCCATCCATGCAATAGTCAGTGCTGTTCTTCAACACCACAGCTCAAAGGCATCAGTCATTTTTCTGTCATCGTTATTCATTGTCCAGATGCATAGCAGGTGATTGGACAGACTGTGGCTTGAATCATGTGCACCTTAGTCTTAAAACTGACATCATTATGTCTCAGTAATTTTGAGAGGTCCCCGACTGCAGACTTGCTCAGTGTAATACATCTTCTGTTCTTCTGACTGCTAGTACCAAGGATGTTGATTGCGAAGCCTAGCAGATGGCAAAATTGACTAACCCCCTTGTCACCATTCTATATACCTTATGTTCGTGGTTCCATTTCTACAACAGTGTTATGGAAGTTATTTATATTCTTTTTTACGATGCATCCAGTTCCCTGGAAGACCACTCAAGCTTCCCTTTCTTGCATCGTCTTGGCAGTCATTTGGTGAGTTTTACAATCACCATATTAAATAATTGACTGTATGATATGTGCAGATCATGGTCAGAAAATAAATTTTATCTGAAAATAAATTTTCCTACATACAAAGCCAAATAATATTTAGGATGGTGAAGAGACTGAGATTGTTCACAGCATTAATTTGTTTGGCTCCACAGTCAGCTCTCTTGGCACCAGCAACCAGGAAATGAAAAGACGTATTGCCATGGGAAAGTCTGCTGTTAAGGACCTCTCCAAAGTACTGAAGAGCATTGGTGTCTCTCTGGAGACTAAGGTGCATCTGACACAGGCCATGGTCTTTGCTATCACTTGTCATGCATCAGAGAGTTGGACAATGACTAGCTAGGATAGAAGGAGAATTGATGCCTTTGAGCTGTGGTGCTGGAGAAGAGTATTGAGGGTACCATGGACTGCTAAGAAAACAAACAGGTTCATCCTGGAGAGGGTTAACTGGGTGGCTTCTTGGAGGCAAGGATTCTGAGACTTCGTCTGACGTACTTTGGACATAGTTGTAAGGAGGTCCTTGGAGAGGGACATCATGCTTGGGAGGGTAGAGGGACAGTGCAGGAGAGGAAGGCCCTCTATGAGGTGGATTGATTCAGTGACTGAGGTAATTGGGATGGGTGTATCCAAGACAGTACAATTGGCACAGGACAGAGCAGAGTTTAGGGCTCTTGCACATAGGGTCGTTATGAGTTGCAAGCAACTCGATGGCACATAACAACAACAACAATGCACTTGGATTGGATTTTTATAATCCTTATGTGTGGCTACATTATGTCTAACCTTGAGGAGAATGAGAATCCCAGTACACTTGACTGTGCTTACGTGAAACCTATGCTTAAACAAGGAGGCAGTCATCAGAATAAAAACAGGGAAACAGTGCATGGTTCAAAACCAAGAAAGGAGTGCATCAGGGATGCATCCTGTCTCCATACCTTTTTAGTCTATATGCAGAACAGATCATTTGGGAGGCTAGATTTTATGAGGAGGAATGTGGCTTCCGGATTGCAGGAATATTCACTAACTACCTGCATTATGCAGATAACATGGCCTTGCTTGCTGAAACTTGCTCAAGCAAGCTTGAGGAGGACCTGAAGTACTTGCTGCAGAAGGTCAGGGACTGTAGTCTTCAATATGGATTGAAGTTCAGTATCAATAAAACAAAGGTTCTCACCACTGGGCCAAATGGCAGCACCATGATAGATGGCGAAGAGATTGAGGTTGTTAACAATTTCAGCTTTCTTGGCCCCATAACCAACAGTCAAGAAATCAAAAGATGAATTGCACTGGGGAAAATCTACTGTGACGGACCTCTCCTGCGTACTGGAGAACTATGATGTTTGTCTAGAGACTAAGGTGCGCTCAGTCCAAGCTATGACATTCACAGTTACTTACTGTGCATCAGAGAGCTGGACAATTACTTAAGGATGACAGAGGAAGAATCAATATCTTTGAATTGTGGTGCTGGAAAAGGGTACTGAACATATATATCATGGTCTGCTATGTGAACAAACGGGTCTGACAGAGAGGGTGAAACCAGGGTGCTCCTTGGAGACTTCATCTCACATACTTTGGGCACGTGTCCAGGAGGGACCAGTCCTTGGAGAAGGACATCATGCTTGGAGAGGTGGAGGGTACAGCATAGCAGAGGAAGACCCTGCATGAGTTGAATTGACACAGTAACTGGGGTAATGGAGATAAGTGTGTCAGAGTCAGTGAGACTGGTTCAGGCCAGGGCAGGCTTCAGAGCCGTTGTACAGATGATACTATGAGTGTGAAGTGATTCAATGGTACGTAAGAACAACATTTCCTCTCATATATTTTTATGGGCTTAAATTTTAACCTCTTATTCCTTTATAGGCAACAGGAGCAGTTCCAGAAAAACCCTGACAGTTATAATGGTGCTGTCCGTGAGAACTATATTTGGTCACAAGACTACATGGACTTGGAGGTCAAGGTGCCAGTACCCAAGTGCATTGTGAAAGGGAAGCAGGTAACTTGTCCCAGGTGGGAGTGGGACTTCCTATTTGCTGTTGGGGCTTTGGTTTCACTTTTACATGCAGAAAGTGTTGGAGATTGCCATTGGCTGGGCATTCAAATAGTTAGCCAGAGAGTATTCACTTTATTTACCAAGACCACCATATGTTTTTGGGAGTTAAGTAATTTAGGCCTGTTTCTGCTTGGGTAGGTTTAGAGGACAATGGTGTGCTGAGAGTAGGAGTTTTAGGATCTGGTTTCAGGGCCGGAGTGACATATTTATAGAATATTTCTTCTAATATTCTCCCTCACTGCCCCCAGCAGTAAACTTCTTGGTATTCATTTGCTTTCCATCCTCCTTGCTGCCTGTTTTTCCTTCTAGACCTCTTTCCATGTGGCCTGAGCTTGAGCCTGTGCCTCTGTTCTCACTGAGGCAGAGTCCATTGGTGCCATGTTCCTTTTTATGAACTCCTACATTTTTGCTGAGCAAAGTCACATGTAAGGACTCTGTTGAAGACTACCCTCCCTAAAATTTCTAAAGTACTGCTCAAAATAGTACCTTTGTAAATTCTAGGAGTTTTCTGAAGAATAGACCTGCTTTTGGCCCAGTCAGCTAGGCCTAAGTTAATAACTAAAGTGTGTTCCCTTTGTATGTTTAACTTCAGTTTTTTAGCCTTAACCAGTGTACTGTCCTATAAGTTCACACTGAAAAGACAAATACAACTGAACAGTACTTTGCTCAGAGACTGACTCACAAGTCCATGTGTATGTTGAGTAAAAAATCAGTGTTACCTTTGACAGTCTCTTAACGTGGGCTCTGAGATGCAGCTCATACTTGAGCTGTGTCTAGATGGAGGTGTGGAATATATGTAATCATAGAGAACAGAGATTTACAATTTGATTCTAAAATGTTTGTCGTTTACATGCTGGCTTCAAAGCTCTTCATGGGACTCCAAGATGGCACTAGAAGAAAAGAAGGCCAAGAGGTCAACCTTTAAGTTTAATTTGGGTCTTACCCAGTAGAAGATGGAATTTTGATTCTGGGAATTTTTAACAGTTTCTGTTGGAGAAGGTTAAAGTCAATGAAAAAACTGGAAATCTCAGGAATGTTGTTCACATTGAATGCTTCAAGTATAAAATATTAGTAGTTTCTGAGAAACAGTTCTCTAAAAAGTATTTGAAATAACTTACTAAGAAATACCTTAAGAAGAACAATCTCCAGGACTGGCTGCATGTGGTTACACCTGACAAGGAGATTTACCAGCTTCGTTATTTCCAGATTATTCAAGATGAAGATGTATCTGAGTCTGAGGACTACATGAAACCTCCTTAGAAGGCTGTTTAATGAATAAATTCACCCTGTGAAATAAAGAAACATCTTAATTTATGGTGAATAAAAAGCATTTAAAAATGCCCTTAAAAAAATGCTGACTTCACCCCAAAGGTGGCACAGTATTTATACGAAAGATTCAAGAGAATGGACAGGTGATAGATAGGTAGAGGAGCCATATTCTCACATTTTGGTACCTTAGCCTGTGGCCACTGAGGGGCAGTGCCCTGGGGTTGCCCTTCTTTCATGTTTTTTTCCTCTTCCACTTATCCCCCACACCACCTTTTGTTGTTGTTCATGTGAATGAAATGTGTATGTAAGAGTCTCTGCTGTGAGCTTGGCTACTCAGGGCCTCCTGCCTCTTATATAATGTCTCCTGTAGTCCTTTATGAGGGGCTATTTTGGAGTCCAGGGAGGGCATCTCTTGAGCTTGAAACCCAGGCTGTCTATCACCCTCATCATGCCTGTTGTGACCTACTAGTGGCTGCTCGAGCTACACTTGCTGGCATGCTTGCTGCCTCACTGGGACCCCACTGTACTACCCTTGGTGCTATGCATTGCTCCCCTTCCTCTGCTCCCATTTTTTCCTAAGTCTTCTGTAGGGCCAGCTTCTGTGCTTCTTTGCTTAGGTTGTTTTCTTAGGATGTAGATGCTAGGCTCTAGACTAGAGGCCTATAGACATAGAAGACAATGCCTTTTTACCATCTCTCAGTCTCTGCCTTAGACCAGAGATGCAAAGCCATTTCTCTTTCTCCATTCAGCATAATCTCCTCTCTTCTTCAGTAGTTTTAGCTAATTTTCAGCCATCCTGTCAATGCTGTATAAATGGCACCTGAACTTTTAATAGGTAGCATGAACATACGGAAATGTTTTCTGAGTGACCTAAGATAATAGAGAGCAAAATTATTTACTCCTCCCTCCTTTTTTTAAAACCCCCTCTCATTACCTCTCATCTCGTAGATCTCTTACTAGATGACTTTGGTCCAGGTCAAAGTTCAGATTATAGAACTGAGAATAATTTTAGCTTCCCAGTTGGCCCAGGTAACTAGGAACAAACTGTGCAGAAATGCATGTTTTAATTGTCTGGTTTTGTGTCTGCTTGATCTTCCTGCATTGAGCAAGGATGTTGAGGTGGCTTGCCCAGAATTTTCTTAGGATTTCAAGTATTGATTTTATTTTTAATAAGATTGCTTTGTATATTGTTGAATAAATAATCAAAAGTGTCCATTACTGTGTTTTAAAAACCTGGCTGAAAATAGGATAGTGTTCTGCTCTTGAGCCCTCTGTGACATTCTAGAATTACTATTGGAATAACTTGTCTCAGCTTAGCTTAAAATAATGATTTTTTTCTTTTTTGCTTTAAGATATCTAGGATATTTGACCACTCTGGCTGCACTTCCCACAGCCACCAAAGAGAACTGTCCAGTAAAATCGTTCTGCCGCTGAGTACGTCACGCAGCAGAAGCCTTAGTGTCATGGCCTCATCAGAGTCAGCACCATGTGGGAGGACTTCATGACCCACTGTCTTACTTCTGTAGTGACACACTTTTGTGCCTCATATGTACTTCGGATATGCCATCGTCAAGTGTACTGTCATGGTGCGTGGTATGACAGAACATCATTCTCTAGGCAGACATCCTCTGTGCAACCAGCATTTCTTGAGTACTTGCCTTTCCTGTGACAACTCAGTTCTAGGAGCTGTGGAAATAATGGTTTCTCAGACAGAACAGATTGCTTGTCCAGAGGTGATGTTCTAGTGGGAGTACAGATAAGAAAAGCAATCAGAAAAATGATCAGGGCAAATTCACTTAATAATCAATGCCACACATTAAAGAAAACAGTGATTTGTCCATTTAAATACCTTGCTGCCTGGCCTTGCCAGGTGCCTTTTAGACCTTAGCCCCTGTAGTTTGATCTTCCTACATTCACGGAGTGGTATGCATATGAGAAATGATTAAGATCAGCTTGGTCAGATTATACCATGCCTAAATATAGAGCCTAAGGTTCCCTATGAGCACATTCCTCGTCTCTCCAGTTACACGGCAGGACAAAGCAATGTGGAGTAGTATGTGAATCTGACACTCAAAAGAGAATGCTCAGGGCAATAGTGGACAGTTTCAGATATTTATGACACTGGATCCTAGCAAGAGGTTTTCCACAGAAAGTATAGACGTATTTATTTACTACCGGCATTTTTATGCCATCAACTATGCTATGTAAAAACCCTTGTGCCACATTTTCCATACCACTGAACACTCTTCTCATTTGGTGAGGTTGTGTGTGTTTTTCTCGGTCAGTCTTATACAGTAAATTTAAAAAAATATAAAAGTCTCAGTCTATGGATTTCTTGCTATGGTGATGAAGGAAGAAGTTCAAGCTGCTTTGAAGGAAATAGCAAAAAATAAGGCCCAGGAGTAGACAGTATACCAATTGACATATTTCAGCTAACAGATGCTACCTAGGATGTGCTCACCAAGTTGTGCCAAGAAATCTGGAGAACAACCACTAGGCCAACTGATTGGAAGAGATCTATATTTGTTCCATCCCAAAGAAGGGTGACCCAACAGAGTATGGAAACTATAGAACAATCTCATTAATTTCACATGCAAGTAAGATTCTACTGAAGGTTATCCAAAACGACTGGAACAAGACATCAACAGAGAACTGCCAGAAGTCCAGGCTGGGTTTAGAAGGGGTCGTGGTACTAGGGATATTGTAGCTGATGTTAGATGGATCTTGGCTGAAAGCAGAGAATACCAGAGGAAAGTCTATCTGTGTTTCATTAACTATGCAAAGGCGTTAGACTGTGTGGACCATAACAAACTGTGGCTGACTCTGAGAAGAATGGGAATCCCAGAACACTTGATCGTGCTAATGAGAAACCTATATTAGACCAAAAGGCAGTCGTCAGAACAGAACAAGGAAGCACTGCATGTTTTAAAATTGGGAAGGGCGTGCGCCAGGGATGTGTCTTATCTCCATACCTTTTCAACCTGTATGCAGAACAGATTATCCAGGAGGCTGGGCTCTATGAGGAGGAATGTGGGGTCAAGATTGGTGGAAGATCTATCAACAATCTGCAATATGCAGATGACACCACCCTGCTTGCGGAAAGTGAGGAGGACCTGAAGTGCTTGCTACAGAGGATCAAGGACTGCAGCCTCCACTATGGATTGAGGCTCAATATGAAGAAGACAAAGATTCTCACCACTGGGCCAATTGGCAGCATCAGGATGGATGGTGAAGAGATTGAGATTGTTCACAGCTTTAGTTTGCTTGGCTCCATAGTCAACACTCTCAGCACCAGTGCCCAGGAAATTAAAAGACGTATTGCAATGGGGAAGTCTGCTGTTAGGGACCTCTCCAAAGTACTGAAGAGCAATGGTATATCTCTGGAGACTAAGGTGCATCTGATACAGGCCACGGTCTTTGCAATCACTTGTTATGCATCAGAGACTTGGACATTGACCAAGGTGGATAGAAGGAGAATTGATGCCTTTGAGCTGTGGTGCTGGAGAAGCGTATTGAGGGTACCATGGACTGCTAGGAAAACAAACAGATTCATACTGGAAAGGGTCAAACCGGGCAGCTCCTTGGAGGCAAGGATTCTGAGGCTCCGTCTAACATACTTTGGACATGTTGTAAGGAGGGACCGGTCCTTGGAGAGGGACATCATGCTTGAGAGG